TTTTTTAAAAAAAAAGGTATCAAGCTCTTAAAAAATCACCCGTTACTACTCTGTAAAGAGATAAAAAAAAATTAAAAAGGGCCTTTCTCTACTAAGGTAACGATATCGCACGTTTAAAAATATATACAGAATTGTTTCAAAATTTCAATTTCATGGGAAAACGCAATCAAAGTTTGATCAATTCATACAGTTGGTATACCAAAAAACAGTTGGAAAGCACATACCTTGGCAGTACAGTCATCTGTTGGGCCGAACATATTCTTATCAGGCTTATTAATTGTATGATAAAATCTCCAAAAACGTGAAGTTTGAAATACATCTCTATATTATTAAAATGCGATTCATACTGTGAATAAAAATAATAGGCAGTGTGGTCTTATGCCAATTTTTCGTTTATTTTTTAGTACTATAACGAGATCCAAATAAATCAAAATGTGGCCTTTGATTTTTGAATCACTTTATAACAAGACGAATAACACATATGGGTCATTCCAGCGAATACGACACCATAGTTAACATTCCCACGACAGCCGACCTACGTACCGGAATGACTCGGGTTTTACCCGACCAAGGGTTGTTGTTTCTGCGACCGAACCCCGTTTAGATCGGCGAACCTAATCTATCATTTTACGTCCATGGAGCAATACCTTGCAGCCGGATTGCTCCGCATCCTCCTTCTCAGGGCGGGCATTAATTTCAGCCCCGGACCAGAAACATACGTCTGCTGCGTTTGCCAGATACGACTCCACCCGAACTCTACTTCGGTTAGGTGCAACTCGTGCAACGGATGGCGTCACCTAAGAACCTGTTGTGGCCTTAGGTCTCCCAGGGAGTGGACCACAAGCTTTGTGGCCCCTGTTGCTCAAGCCAAACGGCACCGTCCGTCTCCACGGCTACCCGCCCGCGCAGCAGGTGCGAACTAGCACCCAAAGAACCTGCACGGATCTAAGAAGCTCTCCTAAGCAACAGCAAATATTTAATATTTATATCCCCCTGTCATCTGCTGCTTAGAGGTGAAAACCGAATGGTAGTAGGTGACTTCAACGCGCACCACGATCTTTAGCACTCAAGCCTGGCAAACGATCGTAGAGGAAACCTATTGGCTGAGCAGGTAGACGATTCGACATTCTGCACCATGAACGTCGACGGGCAGCCGCAGCAGCTGGCCAGACCTGCTAACGCTGGTGTGATAATAGCATAAATAGCAGGCCACCTGCCCGTAATCATCTCGTATCAATAAGCCCACCGACTTTGCTCCCGCTCACCACCGAACGTCAACCGATCAACTTTAACAAAACTGATTGGAATGGCTTCCCATACCCACATACATACACGCTGGCGAACGCCATTTCCGCAGAGTAGTCACTGCAGCTGTTCTATCAAATGAGCGGAACCACCTACGCCAGGTCGATCCCGGGGATCCTCGCCTGAAGGATTTGGAGTTTCGGCAACTGGTAAATCAACATAAGAGGAAAAAGGGGGAAGAGCACTTGAAGCACTGTAACTTCGCCTCTGGTGTGAGTAAACTCTGGTCAACCGTGAGATGCCTGTCCAGCTCGACGAGGCGCGCCGACAGAATGTGCGAGCTATTTTAACCGGCAGTTCGCACTGCATCTTTCGGAAGATAAGACCAAACGTCGAGTGACCTGGAGGCTACACAAACTGCCCAAAAACAACAGCATTTACTTTCACCAGCGACGAAGTGAGGGTGGCCATCGGGAAGGCGAAAGCCTCCAAAGCCATTGGATCCGACGGCATTTGCATGCTGATGCTGAAACATTAGGTGCCCGCAGGAGTAGCATATCTCACGGAGGTCCTCAATCTGCCAATGGCCACTCTCATCATTCCCGATGTGTCCCACTGCTGAAACCGGGGAAACCCGCCGACAAAGGAGACTCTTAACGCCCGATAACGCTCCTTTCCACGGTCTCGAAGCCACGAGGCCATGCTACTCCCGTACTCCACCCACCACCTGACCCCAGGGAAGCATCAGCATGGTTTACGTAAAGTGCACAGCACTGAAAGCCATAAACACCCAAATAACTCGGGACCTAAACCGCAACCGTCCCTGTAGGAGAACAGTCCTAGGAGCGTTGGACTTGTCAAAGGCGTTTGACATCGTCTGTCATTCAACGCTACTAGAAGACATTGAGGGTTATTCGCTCCTACAAGGACTCAAACGGTGGTCGGCGAATTATATGAGTGGTCGACAGTCGTCAGTAAACCTCGAAACCTACAAGAATAAAACAAGGGAATGATTCATATGATTCCACTCATGGAATGAATATTGTAGATCAAACTTGTTGTGTTGTTGTGGATGGTATGAGTGTGATGAGGGCGTCGTATTCATATCTATGACAACTTATACACATAACTAAAATGACGTTGTGCATATGAGTACATCATAGTGGTGGCGTTTCCCTGATTTATATGCTGAGTGGCGGGGAACTCTTTGCTGACCACTAATCTGAACACAGTACAAAAATACAATTATGGTGAGAAGTTGCTTCCGATTTTTTAAATAAGGTCTTTTTATTGAAAATATAATCGGCCTTATTATGAATTTCATGTGAACAAATATTCCCAAAAATTATAAAGCAAAACAAAAACAATTTCACCCAATTTGTTTTGGTTTTGCCTGTTAAACTATGGGAACGATTTATTCAAATGAAGTTGGCGATAAGGCTGAATAATTATTGATATCAAACCAGTAGAGTCCGTTTTACTCACGAACTATGTCTCTTCAATAGTGACTCACGTTGGAATGCCCCATATGTATGTTTACGAAAGGTTTTGGAAAAAAATGTGCAAGATCATCAGCCAAATAAAAATTACTAAAAACTAACGGTAATTTCAAGTTAATTCAAAATTTATCTTTATTATTCTAAAATTAAATGAGTTATACAACTTATTTTCTACAAATTTGGATTGAAATAGATTTTGTTATAGTGTGAACCATATTTTTCATAAAAAATAAACTAAACAAGTAATTTTTAGCAAAAACAAACCGACTTCAACTCATATAAAAAAAAAAAAATATATATATATATATATCTCATGATCCACTAATCGCATTTTAACCAGATTAGTATGGAACCACCTCTGAGACACTACCTTTCCGATGCAAAAAGAATTATCGAAATCGGTTGACGTGGTCCAAAGTTATGCGGTAACATACATAAAAAAAATATATATATTCCGACGAACTGATAACCTCCTCCTTTTTTGGAAGTCGGTTAAAAAAAATATTCTGACGAACTGATAACCTCCTCCTTTTTGGAAGTCGGTTAATAATAGGCATAAGAATACGTATACTACTATTATCAAAAAATCACATTGCCTAAATTTTTGATTCACTGTATGTATAAAAATATAGAGTTTACAAAACTATCCATAAGCATAACTTTTTTTTAATATATTTTTTTATTATTACACATGTAGATGCGATCGATGCCGCTGACCCTGTGCAAGAACTTCGAACAGCATTATCCGTAGTAAAAAAACGATACTTTCACAAAATTTGCATCCAGAAAGCAGCAGCTAAAGCAAAACCAACACAGTAGTATCATCGAATCAATATTGCCAGTTCTTTTTTGCCGGTTGTTTCAGGATCTGAGTTTTTACCTATGCTTATGTAAACATAATATACTTAAATATAAGTAATTATATTATATTTTCTCAAAACAAGTCAATTAAGAAAATTTAAAGAATGAACGGACTTTCAGCAACGTCATACTTGCACTTTACTATACTAAAATTTAATGGGATATAAAATAGCAAAGACTGTGAAGATATAAAAAAGTCACTGTACGCACAATAAAACCAAATATTATTAATTAAATTATTCCTTACAAATAGAGCTCGGAATCTCATCCAAATGCATGTTTTTATTGGGCATCATCAAATGGAAATGGTCTTTACGAATCATGAAATTTCCTTTAAAATGGCATTCAATCGTTAGTGCATATTTTGCAAAAAGTACCTGTTTATGCATATTCTTTGCGCATATTTTAATATATTTTACAATAAATGCATATGACTTTTGCATATTTTTATTTATTTTTGTTTATTTACAACCAATTAAATTTAGTGCGAAACCTCTTGACAAAAAATTGTCTATAATTTTACCAAATATGCATCTAACCACTGTATTAAACTGTCAATATTTTTGTTTACACAAGATCATCATACAGTTTCATAAGTAAAGTAACTCTTCTTCTTACCGTTTTTCCTGGCAGGCTGTAGGTGTGTTTTTGGTTAGTGTATTGGTGTTTTCGGTTCAATGTGTTAGTGTATTTTGAATAAATTGTAATAGAAATGGAAGAAATTATAATAGAAATGAAAGAAATTGTAAAAGATAAGAGCAAATGCCAAGAAACAGGTGATCTCAGCTGTAGACATTTTTTGGCAATCAGCTGATAGTGTTTTTACTTAGGAAACTGTACGATGCACAAGATTGCAACTGTCTGCTTGATTATAAACTAATGGCCTTAATCATAAAACATAAAGTAGCTTTATAAAAGGTTATAAATTCAAAAATGTATGAAAACGTCAATTTATAAATCTCTTTAAAGCTACTTTATTTTTTATGAATAAGGCCATAATTTTATACATACATATGTATTGCATTATTAAATGAATTGCTTTGGTTATTTTATTGTTAAAATACATGTGTTAACTATTTTTGTTCCAGCAACAAAATAATGCGGAAAATATTTTTAATCGCACAATTTACTTGCTTATAGCGCATATTTTAAAACTTTTATTGCATATTATATGTGGACATTTTCGATTTTTTAGTGCATGAGATTCCTAGCCCTACTAATAAACAACACACAAAGTGAAAATATTTATAATTCACTTAGTTCTCGATTCTGCATACTACTTAGTTATCTGAATTTTTAATTTATTAAAGTACACTGACAAGCCAAGTTATTTTGTTAGTAACTAATTAATATAAATTTTCAGTAATATTTAACAACTGGTTACTAATTTTGCTATAATTTTAAAACATATTAATTTATTCAGGCAAGTTCTGCAATTCACTCCCGAGTGAATTTAAACTAAAGCCACTTTGAATTCAAATTGAATTGGGTTGAAATTCACTCGGAAGTGAATTGCAGCATCTGCCTGATTACTTCCTGTTTTGCACTTGCACGTGAGGAAGTGAGTATTAGAAAAATTTAATAAATGAACTCATTACTTTCAGTGAAGCTTTTAAAGGCTTCATTACGCTGTTTGCATTGTTTCAATTTCTGATATGGTCCTTACTTTCAAACGGGCAGCACCCAAGTAATTAAAATCTGTTATTGGGCCATTCCATTGCGACTGGAAGGACATTTTACCCCCGAATGGGATGAAGTGTGACTTATAACTACCCTGCAAACCGTTTTTTGAGAGTATTTTGATTTGTATAGAAATTTTAAAGAATTCGTAAAGATCTCATCCGATTTTTTGCCGAAGAAAATCGGTAAAGCAATGAAATTGATGCGGCTATATGAAAAATCTCTTGCAGACTTTTCTTTATTTTTCGTACAGAAATTTCTTTACGAGTTCGTGTCAACCACTTCATATAATTTTCTTTGAAGATTCCTAAAAAAATAAGAAATAAGGTACTCCTAGTAACAACGAAAGATATTTTTTAACATGGATAAATAACTAATGTATAAAATCCCTTTAAACAAAATATCAAACAATTTCTTAGTTCTATGTAACTATCATTTGAATGAATGTAACTAGTGGAACATGGAAAATAACTCTATTTTACCTTTGTGCACTCATAAAATATAGATTATTAGGATATTTTAAAATTAATTTCGTTTTTTTTCTTTTACATGGAATGACCCTAATGCATTACATTGTTTAGCAAAAATACCAAACGTTTTTTTTAGTTCTATGTGACTATCATTTGAATGAATGGTGGGACACTAAATATAACTATACTTTATCTTTGTGCACTCAAGGATGAATTTGATTAATGACTTAATTTTTTCGAAAGATGTTTTGTGTTATAAAATATGAACTATACTCTATCGTTTTCAATAAAAATTAGGCTGTTATAATATTAAAAAATATTTAAAGTTGTGACCAGTGGGACAAGTTATTGTTGTAACAGCATACAAATTCCCCAAAGAGTTTTTGAGGAGCGATGCAGGAGGGACAGTCCCTGGTCAGATATAAGTACATATCGTCGTTTAAAGTACAAAACCGCGTATCGTCGTTCTGCAAAATCGCGTAAATGACATTTTTTGCCAAAAATTGGATGTGCTCACACAAGCTCTTGGCCCAAGTCTTAATCACTCGTCCTGAAATATACTTGCCAGAAATGCGATTGCTTTATAAAAAAGAGAACAATTTTGAAATATGAGTGTGTTTACTCTCTGGAAAATAGTTTATGCTACCTCTCATACCATGAACCAAAAAGACAAGATCACGCGGGCTGGAGACTAGCCCGTTATAATCGCATTTATGAAAAAAGTTGAGCGACTTTGACATTAGCCGTTTATTTACATTTCTTCGTTGTTTACAATTTGGTGGTGGCTTTTTACTGCAATTTTCTTCATTTTCACTTGTGACAACGTGTGTACACATAAGATAAAGAATAATTTAACACAACGGCATGATTTATAGAAGAATTTGCATAATAAAAATGATTTTTCATGCGTTCAACAATTTCGCGGTTTTCTCTGTTCTCTTCGTTGTTTACTTCTTACAACAAAGATGGCGTCGAGATTTCGGCAGCTAGAAAATAACTTTTTTCGTTTTTTCCTTACCGCGTGATCTTGTGTCTTTCGTTCATGCTCTCATACGCGCAAGAATGATAGAATACAAGATTGTGCCGATTGCAGCAGAATTCGTGAGAGTAATTTTAGTGTGACGTCATCGTAGAGTTGACAACTGAGAGCGGCGAGAATGAGGGCGACTAGTGATGTGCTGAATTGTCCCCAATACTCGGTACCCAATACTTAAAAAAGATTTCGGTACCCTATACTTCCTTTTCGGTATCCGATACCGATTATTTACATTAAACCCTCGCCATTATATGCATTTCAGGCTTAGAAAAAACTTTGATTACTAATTTATATATCGGCTAAAACACTTGAACTTATCGCCACAGAAAAATATTATTTTATCAGTTTTAACCTTAGTCGAACTAAGGTTCAAGAAAAATACTTTGACGGATGAAGAAGCCTTTCTGGGAAGAGATTCTGTAGCCAGTTAGCGACAAGTTTCGGATCGATATCGCACTTGTTGACTTACAAATATTTGACTTACAAATATCGACAAAACCGATACCGATTCGAAAATTGTCATTAACTGGTTACAGAATCTATCCCAGGCTTACAAAAATAATATCGTCCGATTCAGCTGGAACAAAAATGCTTCAAACAAGTAAGGGTTTCTCTGTATTATGGCATCGAACCGACATATAAACATCTTTCATTTGAATCAGTAAAAAAGGTCTATTGGCTCTTACATTCGGGTTTTGTTAGGCGTTTTTTCCATATTTTTGGCCTATGTGCGCTTTTATTCGAAACCTAAATGTTTCGGTACCGAGTATCGAGAGTATTGGGTACTTAAAAGTATTGACTCAGCACATCACTACTGCTGTCTGCTCTACTATGACGTCACCAAAACAGCTGATTCTGTCAAAATCACTGAGAGCCGAGTAGCGGTATCGTCATCGGCGCCAGCTCTGTATTCTCTCCACCGTGTGTAAATCGGGTATTGGTTCGTACGAGAAGTATCGAGTACGTACTAGTATTTACTTTTATCGTTTCATCCCTAAACAGTGATCGGATTTGCCACATTGTGGTAGATCTGCCACTTTTTGGGCATCTACTGCATCTACCACTCAAAGTTTGAAATCTACCACATATTCACGTTTTTGAGTAGTTTTATTTTTGCTCGACATAGTTTTCTTAATTTTATGAGCAAAAATTGTCCAACACTAAACACTATACGGTAACAAGATTGATATAATACAAGATTCCACATTCCCGGCGACGATGAAATTTCTCAAGTAAAAGTAAACAAAGCCCAATGGGAGGATAAAATAAACTGTAAAATAGTAAATTTTCTCAGCGATCATTTTTTCGAAGGGAAACGTGGTTTTATTGTGTTAGATTGCATAATATATGATTTATAAAAAGAATTAATAGCCGAAATGCTATAAACAGTGATTTTTGTGAAAATATTAGCAAATTTAAGTGCATCTAAGGTTTCAGATGCCTTGTTTACTTTTACTTGAGAATTGTCAAAACCCGCAAATCCCAATTAAGGTGTTCTTACACGATATGTATTTGCATGTGTACATGCCACTTTTTACATATGGAAATGTCAACATATCGTGTAAAGGCAAATTAGATTTGTTTATGTACAAAGCAGATGCACGTACATACGAAATAGAAATGTTTCTATTTTCATCTGACACACAGATAGAATCATCTGAGTTTAGTTTATTTCGTTTTCAAAGAAAGTATTTTTAAATAGTTAAATAAAGACTGTGAATTTGACAGACATACACAATTTTATATGTATTGAAAAAGTCACATTTACAGATGCAAATACATACCGTGTAAGAACACCTTTAGCTGCTTCTGTGATAAAAAGAAAAGTTGGCAGTACTCCGCAAGAAATCTCTTAAATATGTTTGAAATAATTCTTAATATGGAAGGAACTGCTTTCCACTGTCAAGGAAAAAAATTGCTAAAACTCAAAGCAATTTTTAACAACTTAAATGTTGCACTTTATTATACTAAAATAAATTTTTTTTAGAGTCAAATTAAAAAGTTGGCAATTTATGTGAAACCTTGCAGTATTTTTATAATTTTGTACAAAGTGTGATCCAAACCCTGAGATTAACACATGTTTTTGAAATCTACCACATTTTTTTCTAGATGCTGTCACACAGAATTATGAGTCCGATCACTGTCCTTAAACCAAACAGAGTTTAATGCATGCACAATTGTTCTCGTGTGTTTTAGGCCATTAACCATATAAACAAAACCGTCATTGTGAATACCTACACTACAGGATTTTTCGGCAAAATATTCGCTGCAGGACTTTGTGAAATACTTCAACTATACTGTGCTTTATCTAAAAAGAAATTATTCATAATTAAATACACTGATAAAATGGCTTGCCGATTGTGCTTAAATAAACCGGTAGAGTTTTTGGAAATCTTCAAAGACAATGGTGAATTAGTTGAAGGGGGTGCCAAAGAAATTATAGAGAAATACTTCCAAATTCAGGTAACTCGATTAAATTCTATTTACCAACCGTTTATTAATTGCAAATTATCATCAATCTGCACAAAAATCTAGATTACATTCAACGATGAAATCTCAAATAAAATTT